CTAGACTACTGGCCCTCGAACTCAGCGCCGATCACATACTGGTGACGGCCATACATCCGGGTCACGTGCGCACTGATATGGCCGGACCCCGGGCTGCGATGGATCCAGATGAAAGTGTTGACTGTATATTGAAAGTTATACGTAATGTCACTGAGAACGACGCTGGCAAATTAATTAGTTATGATGGTTCAATCATACCTTATTGATGTTAATGTTTATGTTATAAGCATGTTAATGTAGTTATTGTTAAGTTTTAATAATATAATTTAATTGTGTATATCAAACAATTTGATTGATCAGTTTAGTATAAATATTAATAATGTAATAAAACTTGTTAATAAAAATTTAATTAAAAATAAATGTTCTAAAAGACTAGACCTAAACTAAATTTACATGAGTGTGTGATAATTGCCCATAAATCTTCCATTATTTAAAAATTGTAATTGTTTTAAAAATGACAAATTAAATGTGTGTTTTGAACAATTTAATTGATTAGTTTAGTATACATAATAATAATAATACTGTATAGTAAAACTCATTAATTAAAATTTAACAAGTGCCCTAAAATTATCCACACATTGTTGTGTTAATAATAACTTATTCTAATTTTAATTTAAATTCTTTATTTTTAAACATTTGTTTAAATTTTCAGTTAAAAATATATATTACTCTTAAAAATATAAAAATTTTATTTTGAAAAAGTGTGCTAATTATTGTTTACAATTATATTTAATCCGGTTAATTCTTACATTGTTAAACGGCAGCATTTTTTACTTCACGTTTATAACATTATTTGATTATCTTACGAGCATGTAGGTTTATGGAATTTTATAAATATGTAAATATTATCTAATTTAGATAATAAATTAAGAAGTATCGGTACAATAATCTACTATTCTACCAATTTAAAATAAATATTTTATCACTAAAATTTATCAATAACAAATTTATTTTGCCTTTGAACTGGGTAATTGCTAAACTGTTGTTGAGTCTGATTATTAACCTTAAATGATGATTTAGGAATCAGGTAACCAACAAATTAATAAAACTGCATCTCATTTACCTGTGCACTTCTATTGATGTGGGTAGAGGGCACTCGTATAACACCTGCAGGTGTGTTGTTTGAGAGTAAAAACACTGGGCCTGGCGTTACATTCAGTACAGTGTATAAACTTAAGCGTTTGTTGTGTTCAATATACAGTTTTACTTAATTACAAATAATTATTAACAAAATAAAGTTTACATTAAATTATCACCATGTTTGTTAATAATTATCATGCTAATTATATACTACATGATATTTTCAAAATATTGGTATAGATCTGCAGTACATTATACAACACAACTATCAGCCGGTCCTACGCCTCGGCCAGCATTGTGTAAGTATTTACAGATTATAATTAATTATTACTTTTGAAAATATTAATTAAAAATATTAATTTTATTTAAGCGATCACACGATGAGAACGTTTGCCGAGACTTTTGCGATATGTTTATCGGCGCTAAACGTAAGGCAGAGGTCGAGTGCCGGCCGGGTGTCCAGTGACCCATAGATACCGTGCGCCTGATATAATGATCCCATGGGCTGATAAACTAACAACATTATTACTCTTGATAGAATATATTATTTTTTTAAAAATAATATTTACAATTGATTAAGATATTGTTCATTTGTGTAATGTTAGCCCTATTGGAATTTTTGAAAACTTAAGTTATGCAGTACTTTATGATGAATTAATTAAGAAATTGTTAGCCATTAATTTAAAGTCATATTGAATTATAAACATATTGTTTGCAATAAAACATGAAAATTATTTATATGTAAATGTTACAATGTTTATCACAAATATATTTACCCTAATTAATTGTAAACTAAACTAGAATTTTTATTACTACCACGGTTACTAAAAATAATAATTGTATTTATTATTTATTACATAGTGGTGAACTTACCAGAATCTAGTATATTTTACTCTAATCTACGCCACTATTCATCCGGTCCTACGCCTCTGCCATTGATTGGCAATATATTGCGTAATTATAATTTATAAACTATATTTAAAATATATTTATTTAAAACTTTAATTAAAAAATTTACTTAAATAGTATTTCACGACATTAAACGGCACTGGAATGTAGACTAGGGAATGTTGTGCACCGGTAGTGACGGTATGGGTCGGTCCCAAACCCGTTGTGATCGTCGGTGACCCGCATGTCGTCAAACAGGCATTTTCTCGGCCAGAATTCATGGGCCGAATGGACAACATGTTGTGTATGTGCAGAACATAATTGTACCATGATCATTGATTATGTATTTTATCACGT